GCGTTCCGGAGGTGGAAGCAGCGACTCTCCAACCAGGGAGATCCTGCTCAGCGTGCCCTTGTGTGGCTGCCTCGACGGAGGAAATGCTTATACATCTTCCTGCAGGAATTTTCCACTTCCAATATTTAAATGTATACATATATGTATATATATTGACTGGATGTAATTGTCTGCATAGCAGGCAGTTGTCCGATCCTTGCTACGTTGTCAGCCGTGACATATACTGCGTTTGTGATCGTTGGTGTTTCCCACCTCACAAATGTCTTTCAAGCACTGTTAAGAGCTGCGGGTAATGGGTTGCTGCATGCCGCGAGAGAGCGGCAGCGTCTCACTCTCTTTCTTTTTTATTCCCTAATTCTAGCCTGGTTGGGAGGAAAGAATACACCTGGACGGAAGAACGTTTTATATCGATCATAGTAAGTAAGCACACAGGTACTGCAATGTGTAGACAAAGGGAGGTAACCAATATTGAAGTGAAAGCTTTGTAATTTTACTCTTCATTTAGGAAGCCAGGTGTTGATATGTGGAGACATTGATACCAGAGACTTAGTGCCCTCGTACGGTACTGTATATTCACCGAAAGCTTGCTTTTAATCGGCTCATCAAGCTTTGTCCCTCTCTGACTTGTGAAGCATTAACATTTCTTCTTTGTGGTTTCTTTTGTTCTTGTTGATATTTTGGATTCTTTGTTGTTGTTGTTGATGATCCCATGGCTTATTTGCACTTAATAAATTAAAATACACACTAGGAATAGAAAATAAGATGAGAAGAGATCATATAGCCACAACTCCACGTGTAGGCAGTGGAGAAGTCACACTGCTGAGTCCGCTTTTCTCCCACTTCTTTGAGAAGATCTTGTGGCAGTGCCAGTTCTGATCTTATTTCCTATTTATTTGGAGCATGTTATATTGCACCCAGTCCATTAATATCTCTTCAGTTCTGTTAGTGGAGTTCTAGTGTAAGTGATGTTTCATTGCAGACTTGTCTTTTACAGCATCTCAGAACTGCTCTGTGAATCTCTGTTGTTGTTCAAAAATAAAGTAGCCTAGGTTTATAATGAAGCCCAACTTTATAGGGAGGTGTTTATGTTGATGGCATAGTCTTCACAGAAATATGTAGCTCACAAAACCACTGGAAGAGGGTACATTTGGTGCAGCAAGCTTGCAGGATGAACACCTGAAACCGTGATACGCATTTGACAATATTATAGTTTCCCTGTAGTATCAGTAAAATTAATTCTTAGGCTTATCTGTAGTTTTGTGTTATATCATTATAAAATACTGCTTCTAAAATCCTATGAAGTTTGAAATTGCATACGTAGTTTTAAGTACAAAACAAATAATATATTCCTTCTCAAGAGCAAGATTAATACAGAATTTTTAATGTTCTTTATGCATTACACACTTGTCTCTATCAACACATGCCTGGAAAATTAAATCTAAGAGATTAGTGCAACCTGCTGTTACTGATGAGTAAGGGAATAAAACTCTCTGATTAAAATACCTGCATGATTCCCAAACATCCCTACCATTGAGAAGTTTTAATTTCTCAGTCTTCTAAAACTCCTGCGGCATATGTGGTAGTCTCTAAGGTAAACAGTGTAAAAGTATACATTGATCAAAATCCCCCAAACACTTCCTAATTCCTTTAAAAATAATGTATTTGCGTCCGACTTCCTTCGTGAGCCCCTCTCTTGGTCTGCATTTTTAGCTCTGCAGACAGCAGATGCTGAAGGCGTTTGGGGTTGGTGCTGGTTCCGCCGCCTGGCGCCGCCTGCGCCCGCTCCGGTGCCGAGGTCGCTCTCTGCAGTGGCTCTTTCACAGCGGATAAGGAAGCGCAGTGACCGCCGTGCGCTGCAGGTTTCAGCATTATTCCTGCTTTTATTTGTTTGCCCATAACCAGACCTTTCTGACGGAGGCCGCTGGCTCTGCTGGCTTCATGCCAAACCTCGGAGCGTTCCTGGGAATGCCCCGGTGAGAGCAGCTCCTCGCAGAGCCGAGGGCGCCCGCAGCGCCGGCGCTCGGGTCGGCTCCGCGCAGGGCTCGCTCGGATGCAGCTCGGGGCGATAACTCCGGCCGCATGGAGCATCCGGCTCGGCCCGGGCAGCGGAGCCGCCTGGCTGTTACTCGTCATGCGGGAGACGGGAGATGCAGTGCTCTGCTGCTGAGATTCGAACTTCAAGGCAGCTTAATAAGAATAGTAATTAGTGACTTTAATTTCCCCAGTGCTCAATCAGCCCTTACAAAACACAGTCTCCAGCTCCCCACGGCTGCTCCTTAGCCACCTACGTCAGCCTCACTCACCCTCCTGCAGCAGGTCATATCCTCCAGCTACTCCGCGTGCCCAACCTCATGCGTTTCCCAGGAGCATTTTAGGAGAATATCTGGAAGGTGTCTTGAAGGAAAACAGAGGTTTTCCAGGTGTACTGAGAGCAGGTGTCGCTGGTCGCTGACAGAGGGATGGTTCCCCTCAGTATCACTCCTGAATCGGGCATTCCTCTACATATTCATTAGTGATTTGAACAAGAAGGAGGGGGAAAGCGCTCATTGACTTGGCCAAAAACATCTTGCGGGAGAGGCAAGAGGAGCTCGGTAGGACAGGGTTAGAGCTCAGCGTGATAGGTACAAACTGCAGGTGCGACTTCAGTTGAAAAGCTGCTGTTTACTAAGAATTCAAAGTATTGCCCAACCTGGGGGTATTTGGCAGAAAAGGCCTTGCAGATACGCGCAGGTGAACATCGGGTGCCTCCTCCCGCTGCCTGGGGCCAGGCGAGTCTGCGGAGGGAGCAGGGGCAGGTCCCGTGGCCGTCCCCGTCGCCGTCCGCAGCGACGCTCCGGCTGCAGCGGTGCCCGGAGGGGAAGCGACCGGGAGCAGGACCCTCCGAGGCTGCCGAGCCCCGGGTGGGAGGAGGGATCCACCGAGCTGGTCCACGTAGCTCCGGAGCGAGGACAGGTTTTCAGCCTCCTGCTGCAGAGGGAACGAACTGGCTACCCCGGGGCAGCCTGGCAAGTGCCACCCTCGTCTCCTCCGATTGCGGGAAGCTGCCACCGGAACTGCGGCTCCGGCTCCGCGGGAGCGCCGAGGAGGGAACGCGGGGAATAGGGTGAACTTGCGAGAAGGAGGTTTGAGCCGGGTGAGCCTGCCCGGGCCGGGTCGGAGCCGCCAGCGAAGGCCCCGCTTCCCCGGTGCCCGCGGGCGCTGAGCTAGAGGAGTG